TTAGCGATCTAAGTTTGTTTTGATTTGACTTTTTAGGTAAGATGCAGGTTGATGCGCTGTATCTTTATCTATGTAATCACATACCTTAATGCTTTTTGCTGTGCTAGCAGCTGCTGAATGATGGCTATCTTTGTGTTGGATTAGATGACTTTAAAAGGGTATGTGATTTATAGCCAAGGAAAGAGCAAAATTATTGTGACTATAAGAGATCTGTAATTGGAGACCCCTAAAGGTTTCTGATTTAGTTGACAAAAAAAAGTTTATTGTTTTTTAACCTGAGATTGCTATCAAGTTGCACTTGGATAGAAATTGGAATTTAAGAAAATAAAGTAGCATTATTTTGTTGATGGGAACTTAGTAGGTTTTATTAATCTATTTTTTTCTGCAGTCAGTTTAATTTTAATTTACAACAAATGACATAATAAGCAAGAATAGTATCCATTCTAATCAACTGACTGTTTTTTTTTTTCCAGGAGTCAAATCTTTCAAAGCTGTTAGAACACCTAGAGATGTTGATAGGAGGCTATATAAGTTTTGATGGTGCCAATGTACTCTTAAATCCGGTTAGGTCTTTCTCAGAAAGCACAGATAAGAGTCTAGAGAATGGAACCGTCCGTGTAAAACGTGGTTGAGCAGATACCCAGGTATGACTTCTTGGAGGGCTTGTAAGCTTATCAGAAACAAAACAAAACTGATGAGAGTAAAATTCAGCATGGCCAAGCAGAACTCATGTTTTTCTAGGCAGTTTCTCAGCATGCCTGTCCTCCTAGCTGCTGTCTTTGCTGTCCAGTGTTCTTGTTCTTTCCATTCTGAGAATTGGTAGATCACATGCCCTCATTTGATTTTCAGGAATGAAGCAGTTATTGTTTTCTCAACTAATATTGAATTATCAACTTCTAATGAGTTTACTGAAATGAAAATAAAGAATTCTTTATTGGTGCTTGTCAATTCTGATAACTGCTGAAATACAAGTTGGTAAACAAACCTTTAAAAATACTTCCCACCCAAATATACCCAAACCTGAAAGTCTTTATAAACATCTATTCCACAGTTGCTAATGACAGTTTACAGATAAAAAGCTATAAAAACTAAGAATGATTTAATTTCCGAAGCAGATAATATGAAAGGACAAAATTCCTTAAGCCTTTCATAATTTCCCTACTATAAGCTGTTCCATGAGCAAGAGACTGGTGAAGGCCAGATTTGTAGGAACACGTCTGGAGGTATGGCTTCTGTGTAGATTATCTGGTGTCTGAAAAGGGTTGCATTGCAGCCTTTTTCTCTGTGGATCTAATAGGGTTTGTCTCTAGCTTCCTGTTTTCATGAAATCTCTAGAAATGCCTGATTGTTTAGGTTACTGTCAGATTTTGCTGGATGTATTTGCATGCATGTGAAAGGCACATTTGTGCATCTTCCTTGCTCCAACTCCATACCAGCTTCATATTTAATTTGATTGTATATGCCTGATTTCCTTAGGAACACAAACTGAAATGGTGCTGATTTGACATAAGGAAAAAACCTTTCACTGTGAGCACAGTCCATCACTGGAAGAGATTGCCCAGACAGGCTGTCAAACCTCTGTCTGTGGAGGTTTTCAAGACCTGACTGGCCAAGACAGAGAGTGCCCTGGTTGCAATTCATCGTTGAGCCCCCTTTGAATAGGAGGCTGGACTGGGTGTCCTCTTGAGGTCCCTTCCAAGGTGAATGAGTGTTGTTCTAAGAAGCAGACTAAAAGGAAGGCAAATAGGAACTTTCCATTTTGTGGTGACTTCTCACTTTGAAGAGCTGAAATGTTAGTATTTTTGCTTTTTTTATGCAGAGAAATTATAGTCAAGCATAGTTACTTGGCAAACTAGTAGTATTTGTCTTTGACTAGTAAGATACTGTCCAGACTGTTACCTTGTTGTTTAGACTAGTATTAAAATACTACAGTACTACTGGAGGGGAAGAGTTGCATTTGTGATCTTTGTTGAAAAGCTGAACGTAGCTGGATGTTATATGATCACAAATATAGAAATTAAGGGAACCTTTAGTGTTGCATAAAACTTCAGTTTGTGGTATTGTTCTGGAGGTGTTATCTAAATGAACAGTAAATGCAGGAATAGATTGATAGATAAAATGCCTGAGCAAGGGTTGAATGACCTTTTTAGACCTGAGTTTGGGACATCAGCTGCTACAGTAATTCTTCTATTTTGCTGTTAACTTGCCTTGGTTCTGTTTATGAAAAGGTACTGTCTGTGAAAACTCAATGGGTTATTAGTTTTTTGGAAACCACAGTTAAAACTAGTTGAAGATAAATTTATCTTTTTAGGTAGCCAATGCAGTAAAAGGATAAAGACTCTTGGGCTAGAGTAATTCAGGTTTAATTTTACTGTAGTGCTTTCGTGTTGAATTTGCTGGTTAAGAATGGGATGCGTACCAACAAAAGATTGACTGTAGTTATGCATGGAAACAAAGTGCAAGCTAAAGCTTGAAGAATGTCCAAAATACAAGAGAAATAAATTGGTAGTAAAAGAGTATGGATAATAAACTGTACAGTAACCAGGGAATTAAACTGAGGGCTTGAGGGTTTAGAAATTTTGTGACCTTTATGATGGGGCATCGCTTGTCTAATGGATGCAAAGAATGTTAGATGAGTAACTTAGAGTCTTACTCCCGAGGAGTTTGTTTAAAGACCAGCTGAATAACCATGCTTGTGATACGGAAATATACATCTTTTTGGACTGAAGACCAACTACTTGAAACCTGGAAAATAAGTAATTTGTATTCAAGTTTCTTCTTTTGTTGCTTTGGGTTTTTTTTGTTTTTATTTCTTTCCTGGATTAATGACTTCTGTTTCAGAAAGATTATTGGTTAAGAAAACTCTTGTGATACATGGATGTACATACTATACCACCTTTGTAGACTAATGTTTCTTTTTTGTGAGATAGACATGCCTCAAGAAATGTCTGCTTCACCTTCTTCAGTAGCATCAGTGTATCAGTTAAAGGACTGAAGTGGAGGAACCGTTTCCAGTGGAGCCTAACGTATTGAACCACATCTCCTTCTGGCTGATCTGAGCATGGTGACGTCCTGTCAGCTCTGTTGTTACCTGCAGTGGACCATGGGGTTGGTGCACATAACCTGCTATCATAGAGGGACTGATCATAAAGCTTTAACCAGAGACTATACAAATTCCTGGTTGACTTCACTTTAAAAAGAGGATTTTCATCTTAATTTTACTCCTTGGATTTTGACAGAATGCCAGACTAGTTACTCTGATTTATTCCATTCTGTATAGGTTCCTGTTCCACACCCACCCCAATGGTATCAGAATGTCCTCCAGACTTCTTACTGATAAAAAATATTAGAAAACAGGACTAGCATCTGTCAAATGGGGCTCCCTCTCCATTTCTCTCTACACACCTTTCCTTTGGGGGGAGAAGAAGAGGAGAATAGCATGTGAGTTGTTTGAACTTTAATTAAAAAAACCTCAATTGTATGTTTTGTACATAAATTAAGATTTGTGTTTTTTCTTCTTGAGTGATGACATACAGAGTAGAAAAAGTTGTTTGTTTTGTTTTTTTCTTTTGGTGAGGCTTAGCTTGTAGCTTCTGTCTTATGTGGGAGGGGTTTTAACAGCTGTTTACAGGAAGGTCTCGCCTTTCAAGGCAAAGCTTTCATGTTGACAGTGATCCCGCTTTTTTTTTTTTTTTGAGAAGTATAGCTTTTGAAGACATTCAGGACCATCAAAGCTGATGTACTCTTTGGGGATTTTCTTTATTTTCTTCTTGTGAGAACTTGTCCTGGATGGATGAATTGTTTAGCCATAAGGACAGATCTTTTAAACTCTATTGGGTCCTCTGCCAGCTATTTAAGAACAACAGTGTACCTGTGAAGCTCCCAGTGACCTTTTCCAGTGCAGTGTAGTTCTGTTGCATTCTGTGCCCATTTAAGTTGCTTAAATCTCAGTCTAAATTGTGTTTTACTATAATCTAGGGAGGAGGTGATAAAGGGACATACTTCTAAAGCTAAGCCCATGGGCATACCTTAGGATGTACTGGGAGCTGAAGATAAGCCACTGATGCGTTCATAGCCCAGCTGCATGGGGAGTGATAAGCCTAGCTGTTGGGGAAGTGCTAGACCCTTCCTGGTGGTATGTTCTAGACAGATGGGCAACCACGCTGCGCAACAACCCTTCAAATAGATGACCTGCAGTAGATAATATGTTTTTCAATAATCTTGCTTTAGTTGTCATCCTCCTCTGTATGTTGGATGGCAGCTATTGCAGCTTGCTGAAGGGGGCAGGGTAGGATATAAATCCAAATTCTGGAGTAGGGGAAGGAAATAGAGCTATATACACTTCTTCAGAGGAGGCCTAAAAGCATATGGGTATTAAAAAAAAAAAGTCTCACTTCAGCTATCAGTGCCATACATTAATAACGTTTTAGTTCTACTGCATTAATATTGTAGTAGCTTGTTTTATGCCAAGGTCCATATCAGCTTACAGCAGCAGAAACTTCTGCAGGAAATTTAGATTTTACTGTACATACATGACGACAAACCAAATTATCAAAGAGGCTTCTCATCTTGACACTAACATTCAAGGTGAAATGTGTTGAATTCCTCCTTCCTAAATGAGATGATAGTAATTTTCTGAATAGAACTTAGTAAAACTCTGGTGTTCATGTTCTCTTACAAAAAAACCCACAAAACACAGTATAGCTGCCTTATAGATACAAAGAGATCTGAAAGAAAAACTTGAAATTTTGTTTAGATAGAAGAAATGGAAAGGATTTTTTTCTCCCCCAAATCAGGTTCTGTTTCCTTTAAGAGGAAGCAAGTGATGTGCTGGGAAGTATTAATGAGACCCGTTCTTTGGCTTAAGGCTTTTGGGTTTTCATATTTAAGAACACATTTTTCGGACTTTAGTTTTTGTTTTAATACTGTTAAATGCAAGTGCCTGTGTTCAAGTACTCCATCACTTCTTCTTTGTATTTCTTTTTCAGGAAAAGTGCAAAATGTTTCAAATCCCTGTTCAAAATCTTGATAATATCAGGAAGGCTCGAAAAAAGGTGAAGGGCATTCTTGTGGATCTTGGGCTTGACAGCTGCAGGGAATTGTTGAAGGTAAAGCATTGGAAATAATGTAAACCAATCTGAAACATAAACCCTTGAAAAATATTTCACTTTTTAGTGTATATATGATACTCTCTGCCATAGATCTTTATGGTGGTGTCTTTACTTGAAGACTCATATGCCAGGGGTGGAATTTAGTGTTTTAGTATATAACAGTGAAAGAAACTCTGTTTCTCAACAAGATGTGTTATGGATGGTGTTGCATGTTCTCTGCTAGTAATATTTCAACAAGAGGAAACAGGACAGCTTTAGGGAAAACACCACAGACTAATGAAATGTTATTTGTGTACTACACAGCAACTTCTTTGCGATTCTTTTCAAATCAGAAGCAGATGAAGACTTGAGTCTACAGAAAGGCATCCCATCACATATCAAGGGCAAGCCTCTGAAGGATATATGAATTGTCAGTATTTCTGAAAGAGGACAAGCAATTAGACCCAGTAATCTTGTTGCAGGCCTTTAAACTTTCTGTCCAGGGAAAAATACCAAACTTGTCTTACTGAGTTACAGTGCAGTTCTGCATCTTAAAAAGTATATGCAAGTGTACTGGGCTGATCAGGATGAACCTAGTACCATAGTTGCCACTTTGAGGAGAAAGTATTGTGCAACAAGCAGGAGGAATTCAAACCATCAGATTGGCAAGCGTAATACCAGGAAAAAGTACAACCACAGTGTCCTGGTTTTGGCTGGGATAGAGTTAATTATCTGCCTAGTACCTGGTATAGGGCCGTGTTTTGGATTTAGAATGGGAACAATGTTGATAACACACTGATGTTTTGGTTGTTGCTGAACAGTGCTTGCACAGAGTCAAGGCCTTTTCCTCCTTCTCACACTGCCCCACCAGCAAGTAGGCTGGGGGTGCACAAGAAGTGGGGAGGGGAGATCGCTGGGACAGCTGACCCCAGCTGACCAAAGGGATATTCCATACCATATGGTGTCATGCTCAGCATATAAACTAAGGGAAAAGATGGCCAGGGGTCCACTGTTCAGGAGCTGGCTGGGCACCAGTCAGCCGGTGGTGAGCAATTGCATTGTGCATCACTTGTTTTGCATATTTTTTTATCATTATTGTGATTTCCCCTTTCTTTTCTGTCCTATTAAATTGTCTTTATCTCAACCCATGACTTTTTCTTTTTTTTGATACTCTCCCCCATCCCACCAGGGGGAGGTGAGCAAACGGCTGTGTGGTGTTTAGTTGCCTGCCAGGTTAAACCACGACAGTCCTTTTTTGGTCCCCAACGCGGGGCTCGAAGGGTTGAGATAATGACAGATCTGACCAGAGCGTGTTAAAACAAATTTGTTACAAGTGTTCTTTATTAGGTTAAGAGTTGCTGCTTGCAATGTTGATTTCTTTGCTCTCAGAGTTGTTGTGCTTGTTCTCGGAGTTGTGTTATGTAGCACCTTACTTGCTGTATATGTTCCCTGTTGTGCTGTGTATCACCTCTGGGGGTTGGACTAAGGTTATCATTTTGCTGTTCTGTGTACCACTGGCTTATGATATGATAGAATTACTGGTCGTGAGACTGATCTGGTATCTGTACTCAGCATTGCTGTCATCTCTGTACTTCGGGAACCATCTCTTGGAAACTGTTAATAATACAGTCTTTACGTTTTCTCCTGGGAGAGCCAATTTATGGGGGAGACAAGGGGGGACACTTGCCCTGCTGCTTCCCCTTCCTCTTCTCCTCCAGGCTAGTTACAATAGCTCTTGAGAATTTGGAATATCCTTGGGATGTTCAAACCAGCCTGTTCCTATTGCTGTGTCTCCTGAATGTGTTTCAGGTCTTGTTTAAGGTTCAACAAGTGTCTAAGTATAGCAGCCAGAGATCTGTCGCAAGGCTGGGTAGTTAGGAGTGGTAGGGTGTGTGGGATAGGATGGGCAAGTACCTAGGACAGTGGGCACCTCCAGTATTTTGGAACTTCATCCCTAAACAAGTGCAGAATTCTGAAAAACTAGTAAAATGTTTGGAAAAAGTCTGCTGTGACCCTGGCAGTTCCAGAGAGAAACAAATCACTGCAACGTGCTGGGGCCTGGCCCATGCCTTCTGAGCCCTGTTCAACACTCTTCAGGACCCTCAAGGGGAAGAGGAGGTCTTGGGATCTGATGCCAAAGCGGCAGGCACTGTGGCTACTCCAGCCCTGGCGACAGGCAGTGCAGTTGAACCAGAGAACCAACCCGTGCTGGTATCAGTCGCCCCTATAGACAAGAAGAAATGTTGGAAGCGAAAATCAGCTTGTTTAGTAAGGGAAGAAACTCTTCCCCTGCTAAGGGAAGAAGTGGACAAGGCAGGCTACTCTGAAGCAGGGCCATCATGAGAAGAGGAGGAGAAAGAGGCAGAACTCATAAATGAGGCAGCAACCACCTGATCCCTATCCCTGAGTGAGCTAAGACAAGTGAAAAGATTTCAGCTGTTGTCCAGGTGAGCAGATTGTCACCTGGCTGCTCTGATGCTGGGATGATGGGGCCAGTATCCTGGAATTGGAGGGTAGGGAAGCCAAGCAGCTGGGATCTCTTTCTAGGGAAGGGGGCATTGACAAAGCAATTGGCAAAGGGGAACAAGCCCTCAGCCTCTGGAGGCACCTCCTGTCAGGCTTGAAGCAACGGTATCCCTTCAAGGAAGGTGTTCTGTGTCACCCGTGCAGGTGGACCACCATGGAGAGAGGTATCCAGTACCTGAGAGAATTAGCTGTGCTGGAGGTGAGTTGTGATGACCTGGACAACAAGCAGTTATCCAAAGATCCCGATGAAGTCAAGTGCACGCGACCCGTGTGGCGGAAGTTTGTACAGAGCGCACCAGTGTCATATGGCAGCTCATTGGCAGTAATGACCTGGCAAGACGGAGAGGGACAAACGGTGGATGAATTGGCTGTCCAACTCTGGCAGTACGAAGAAATTCCGAGTATAAGGCCTTAGTGGACACTGGCGCACAGTCTACGGTAATGCCATCAAGCTATAAAGGGGCAGAACCCATCTGTATTTCTGGAGTGACAGGGGGTTGCCAACAGCTGACTGTGTTGGAGGCCAACGTGAGCCTAACTGGGAATGCGTGGCAAACGCACTCCATTTTGACGGGCCCAGAGGCCCCGTGCATCCTTGGCATAGACTGACTCAGGAGAGGGTATTTCAAGGACCCAAAAGGGTACCGGTGGGCTTTTGGTAGAGCTGCCTTGGAGACAGGAAATTAACCAGGTGTCCGCCTTGCCCAGTATCTCAGAGGACCCCTCTGTTGTGGCCCCCACAGGTGCCCGGCCGCCAATGTGCCACCAGCCGAGACTCCCTGATTCCCATGCATAAGCTGATTTGTCGGCTGGAGAGCCAAGGAGTGATCAGCAAGATTCACGCACCCTTTAACAGTCCCATTTGGCAGTGCAAAAGCCTAATGGAGAGTGGAGACCAACAGTAGACTATCGTGACCTGAATGAAGTCATGCTGCCACTGACTGCTGCTGTGCCAGACATGCTAGAACTTCAATACGAACTGGAGTCACAGCAGCCAAGTGGAATGCCGGAGCTGGTATCGCTAATGCGTTTTTCTCAGTCCCTTTGGCGGCAGAGCGCAGGCCACAGTTTGCTTTCAGTTGGAGGGGCGTCCAGTACACCTGGAATCAACTGCCCCAGGGGTGGAAACACAGCCCCACCATTTGCCATGGACTGATCCAGACTGCACTGGAACAGGGTGAGGCTCCGGAACGCCTGCAATACGTTGATGACATCAACGTGTGAGGCAACACAGCAGAAGAGGTTTTTGAGACAGGGAAGAAACTAGTCCGTGTCCTTCTGAAAGCTGGTTTTGCCATAAACGAAAGTAAGGTCAAGGGACCTGCACAGGAGATCCAGTTCTTAGGAATAAAAAGTGGATGTCATCAGGTCCCAATGGATATGATCAACAAAACAACAGCCATGTCTCCACCAACTAGCAAAAAGGAAACACAAGGTTTCTTAGGCGTTGTGGGTTTTTGGAGAACGCATATTCCAAATTACAGTCTGATTGTAAGCCCTCTCTATCAAGTGACCCAGAAGAAGAATGGTTCATGCAGTAGCCCTTGGGCCAGTCCGGGCAGGGCCAGATGTAAAGAACGTGCTCTAGACCACAGCCAGGGAGAACGGCCCTACCTGGAGCCTCTGGCAGAATGCACCAGGGGAGACTCGAAGTCAGCCCCTAGGGTTTTGGAGCTGAGGATACAGAGGATCTGAGGCCCACTATACTGCAACTGAAAAAGAGATGCTGGCAGCATCTGAAGGGTGCTTGGTACTGAAGCACAGCTCCTCCTGGCACCCTGACTGCTGGTGCTGGGTTGAATGTTCAAAGCGAGGGTCGCCTCTGCACATCATGTAACTGATGCTACGTTGAGTAAGTGGGTGACACTGATCTGATAATGGGCTCCAGTAGGAAACCTCAGTTGCCCAGGAATCTTGGAAGTGGTCATGGCCTGGCCAGAAGTGAAAGATTTCAGAATATTGCCAGAGGAGGAGATGACGCATGCTGAGGAGGCCCCACCATGTAATAAGCTACCAGAAAATGAAAAGCAATACGCCCTGTTCACTGATGGGTCCTGTTGTCTTGTGGGGAAGCATCGGAGGTGGAAAGCTGCTGTATTGAGTTGCAGAGACTGCTGAAGGAGAAGGTGAATCGAGTCAGTTTGCAGAAGTGAAGGCCATCCAGCTGGCTTTAGATATTGCTGACCGAGAAAAGTGGCCAGTGGTCTGTGTCTATACTGACTCATGGATGGTGGCAAATGCCCTGTGGGGGTGGTTACAGCAATGGAAGCAGAGCAACTGGCAGTGCAGGGGCAAACCCATCTGGGCTGCCGCATTGTGGCAAGATATTGCTGCCCGGGTAGAGAACCTGGTTGTAAAAGCGTGCCACGTAGATGCTTGCGTACCCAAGAGTCGGGCCACTGAAGAACATCAAAACAATCAGCAGGTGGATCAGGCTGCTAAGACTGAAGTGGCTCAGGTGGATCTGGACTGGCAGCATAAGGGGGAACTAT